CCCAATATCCCATCTAAACCTCCCCTCCTTCAACTTAAAGCCATTCTTCCCTTGTGGAAATGCCCCATTCCTACATCTGTGGATGACACTGGAAATATATTCAATTATTCCAATCAGGATGCAGGAAACTCCTCTCCAGTGTGCATTTCATCAAGGAAACCAGCACTTGTTTGAGGGTTTCTGCTGGCCAGCACCTTTGGCAAAGCTTCCTAAGAGTTATTCTGAGGAAAATATTAAACACAAAACCCAGAGAAAAGGCCACACTTCCTGCCTCCTTCTGGAAGTCCATTAAACACACAATAATTGCCTTTTATTGTGAGGCTCACCCATCAATGTGTGTGAACACRCCACAGTTCACAGCCAGGGAAGAGGCTCCACAGCCAAACACAATTTTTTCAGCATATTTCAGATTTCTTTCCTCTCCAAAGAGTTCTTCACCCAGTCCAAAACCAACCAAACAAAAAATCCAAACCGACAGCAGCACAGTCTGAGCTTTGCAAGAYTTTTCTCCTCAGAGCTGGTAAATCTCCTGCTCGAGAGCATTTCATCCTCTCTGTTCCATGGAGCCCAGCTCCCTTCTCTCCACATCACCCAGAGCAGATGTCTGGCAGGACAGTGAACACACACTGATTTCTTTAAAATCAGCTAATGTAGATTTTCCCCTCATAAAACTCCTCCTCTCCCACTTTATTTACATCACTAGCTCCACCATTGCATTCTCACATCCCAGGAGAATTCCCTGATATTGAAATAACTCACAGGGAAGGAATCCAAGTTACTTTTGGCCATTGCCATCCAATTTTTAATAATCTATTCCAAGCAAAAATGGTTTTATCTGTCAGGTAATTCTGTAACTGCAGACATTAGAAGTGAAACCAGTTCAATGCTGAGAGGTGAAACTGCTCCTTGTGTGGCACAAAGAGAGCCAAAGGTATWGAACAGTCAGGCCTGAGGGCCAACAGCTGGGATTTCTCACTTTTTCAATAAACTGAAAGTCATTATTTACATGGTTTGGTCTAAAAAACCCACCACCCCCACAATAATTCAGAGAACAAAAATCCCAGCTGACAGAAAACCGTCATTAATTACCTTTGGATTGCTAAGAAAACGTTAATGAATGACCAAAGCAGGAAGGAGAGGCAGGRGATTTCATTTGCTTACATTTATCTGCCCTTACTCAAGATGATCCCATTAAATATCCCACTCTTACAAAATTCGGGATCTGTTGCTGGGGATTCATTAGGGCTAAAAGATCTGGTTATTAATGAAACAGAAGGGYTCAATTATTCTGATATCCACTCCACTGTGGAACCTTTAACCACAGTAATTACACTGCAGCAGGGCCCTGTTTTCTCCCAATCCATCACCCCACCTCCAGTGTTTGGACAGCTCTTTAAATCCACTTGGGATGAACACGGACATCTGCTCGGGGAAACAACGAGCGTCTTTTCCTCGCTGCAGAATCCACAGTCACGACTTCAAAGCGGTTTTAATCCGGTTTCTTGGTTTCCCAAAAAACACTTTTGCCTTTCAGAGCCATCTGATCTGTCTGATCCAGCCCACATGGCCCTTCTGCCGTGCACAGACCACCCAGGAACACTGCTGGAAATGCTGCCCTGCACCACACAGAGCCAGTCCTGAGGGAGGCTTTGGGATTTAAACACTTAAAATTGGGTGACAATTACACTCTCATGGGCCCTTTGCTTGCAAACACCCACCTGTGAATGAATGTTGGCAGAGGAGCCAAAACCTTGTGAAAGRAAYRGAGCTGGGAAGGGTTTGGAGCCCCAGGAGGGGCTGAGGGAGCTGGAAAGGGGCTCAGCCTGGAGCAAAGGAGGCTCTGGGGGGACCTTGTGATGCCTGATGATTTTTGCTTTTCCTTTTTAWGTTTTCTGTAYCCTCTATGCATYCACCTGTACCCCTTAGCCCACATGSYTGTCATTCCTGAAGCCTGATATTCCAGTTTRRTTTAGGAATTCTGCTGRGCAGAGACCAAACATCCTCAGKMAGGGCTCAGTGTTCTCTGTGCTGTCTTAAACCYGARCTYMRSCYTKGGKKRARCCTTCTGTCCAGAACATCTTGTGTAAACTGAGCTCTGGCCTCATCTAGGAGAGGATTCATTAGAATTGGGGGGCATTACTGCATTTGTTGGGTTTTTTATTGAGGGATCCTAGATAGAAATGCTAATTCCTGAAACCTATAAAACTTGTATCTTACTGGGAAATCCTACATAGAAATGCTAATTCCCGAAATCTATAAAATTGTATCCATGCTGTACACGGGTGTGCATTCTGCCATTGAGTTGTGCACCTGGGATCCCAAATACCGAGGGAAAACCCATTTTATCCCCTTAACCATGTTTGTGTCATTATTAAAAACTGGCCATTATTAAAAACAAGGCAACACTTGTGGCTCTGCACAGCTCCCTGACAGGAGGGGACAGCCGGAGGGGTCGAGCTCTGCTCCAGGGAACAGGGACAGGAGGAGAGGGAATGGCCTGAAGGGAGGGTCAGGGTGGAAATCAGGAAAATCCCTTCATCAAAGAAAGCATTGTCCAGCCCAGGCGTCCCCATCCTGCAGGGATTTCAAATCCTTGTGGATGTGGCACTTGGGGACATTGGGCAGTGGTGGCCTTGGCACTGCTGGGGGTTGGTTGGACTCAATCTTAAAGGTCTTTTTCAACCTAAATTTCCTCACAATCCCTTGAATCAGCTCTGCTTGATTTTTCCCTTGGTAAAAAAAAAACATTAAAGACTGGAAATATCACCATTTCCAGGAAGCACAACCTGGAATATTAAATTTTTTTTCTATATTACATGACCAGATTAATGCACATGAAGATACCATGCACTGATGTGCTCTGGGAAATCAGCACAATGGAGTTACCTGCAGGACTGAGCAGTAATTCCCTTTTCCCCAGGGAATGCCCTGCTCTGAGAAGCTTTTGTTTTTCCTGAACATGAAAACTGGTTTGATAGGGGTCTAGGAAGGTCAGGTTACTCACTGAARGTGGTGCAAGTCCATGCTTAAAATGGGGAAAAAAGCTGGTTCTTTGTTCCATTTCTTCAACCAAAACCCATAGCCTTTACCACAAACATAATCACTTTAATTTCTGAAAGAATAAAACCTGACCTATTTGATCTGWTTGAAAAGGGATCCAGAATTAATTTTAAAAATATACACACGTATTAAAGTACAAACTGCCCACGCATTATCTCAAGGTTAAATTGAAGAGTTAAATGTTGAAAAGTTCCTATAAACCCCCACAGAATTACAAGCACCTGTGCTGCCCCATACTTCCACATCACAACCATATTAATGGGTTTGCCTGGAATTTTAAATTTTAAAAGACACTTCCAACATGAAAGCCTCTCAATTAAATGGGATCTACTGTAGGAGGGCCCTTTTGTTTCCAAGGGATGGCAGATGGAAAATCTTTTCATGGAAATGCAGAACTCTCCAAAGCATCCTCAGGACTCACCTGCTGAACTTCGCTTTCTCCATTCGATATTTTCTCTGTGTACACAAAGGAGTTGAATATCCTCTGCAAGAAAAAGCAGAAAAGGTGTGTGAGAGGCTGTTTTTGTCCTAAATGTCACACGARAGCAGCTCCAAAAGGTGGATGGGTKAGGAAATGGGGTCAGGGAAGGAGCTGGGAAGTCTCCCAGTGCCAGATTTCCCAATGGGAATTGTGTCTCCATGGAGAGGCTGAATTTGGAAGGCAAAGCCATAACAGTTTTGTTTGTTTTTTTTTCAAAACATCTGCTTATTTACCAAAATTAGATGAGGTGCTAAAAATAGTTCCACATGCAAACTCTGACCCTTCTCCTGCTAAACACTGAACCCAACAGAACCGCTTTTACAAGTACTYGTTTCCAACTAAAACACGAGAGGCTGTGAGCCAAATTTAGGCAAATTTAATACCTGGAGAAGAGACAAGTGAGACCCAAGACTGAACACAACYAGATCAACCTCATTAATGGCAAAATAAAGAGATGTAGCAGAAGATGGAAGTGAGAGCTGTGTCCTGCCCTGGGAAAGCTCCCCAGAAGTTCCCAGGGGACAGCACATTGCCATCCTTGCTACAGACACAGGGAAAAAAAACACTCAACACCTCGTTAATATTCTACTTCCAGACTGAAAAATAAGATTAGAAAGGTTTGGGGTTACACCAACAGCATTCCTTAAGAAGTTTGCCTGATCACCTGAGTTTCTCTTCCCAGATTTCTCATTTCCAAGAGCAGCCTTGGAGACAGACAGGAAGATGTACAACATCCCTAAAATATTCCTTTGCTCTCTTAATAGCAATGAGTGGCATCACTAAATGTAAGAGTAACAAATGGAGGTTATTTAGSCTGTTAGACATTTCTCCAGGGGAGCTGGGATTTCACAGAGGGAATGGATTCCACATCTCTCAGTGTCGAGTCACACACATGACACTGCATCTGGCAAAGGACAGGGATTCCTAAAGTCCCTGCATTTCATTATTAGCAAGAACAACTGCAATTACTAAAGAAGCCTAAATTTCATCCCAACCCACCGCAGTCCACAGCTCCAAGGGATGTTTTGGATGCAGGTTCAGCTGATTCCCTCCCAGCCAAGCTGCAGGCTGCCTTGACTGGCAAAACCAGCCTGGAAAACCCTTTGGTGTGCCTGCTCCACTCGCCATCATCACCTCCCCTTATCCCTCTCCCTCCTGAGGRCTTGAGGAATGTAAAAAATGTGAACTCTTCATTCTGAAGGAGCATTTGGAAGGGCAGCAATAAATCTCCTTGRTTTACAAGGCTCAGAGAGCCAAGAAAGGGGGGCAGGGGAGGGGAAAAAAAAAAAGGCATCTACTCTTAAAAGCTGCCCGTACATTGAGACTTCCTCTTCATCCAGAGCTTTGTTTAAAGTTCTGCTTGGGTACTTTAACTACAAACACGTTGGCTTTTTTTTTTCCCCTTCCCTCATGAGATGAAAAGATAATTTAAACATCAGAAGAAAATACATTAAAGCATGTCATTTTGATGCAAAATGTTTTAAGTGCATTGAATTTTTTCTGTCCACGCAGCATTTAGTCTGCAGACATCAAAAGGAACGAGGAGGAAATCGACTGTCAGCTCCTGAGAATGGAGCTYTCTGTCCTAACACAAAGCTGACCTTTCTGGCACCCCTTTCACACGTAGCCTGTTTATGAACTGCACAATAATGCCAGAGAACATCATCCACGGTTATGTAAGAATCACAGRGCCAGCAGGTATTTGGTTTGGGTTTTAACCTGTTTTTGCTTGATTTGGAATTAACTGATATCTTTAAAATGCGCTGGTATATTTTGCTGTTTTAATTAAAAGCACTGTGCATGGCAGAGAGGGGGAGCGGGAGTTTCTCAATCAAACTAAGCAGAGATAATGAGTAAAGCAACAGTAAAAACTGAGTAAGGATTGAGAATCAGCCTCGAGGCTACACATGAACTGCTCAGCCCCTGCYTGGGTCCAGGTCCTGTTTGGGATATCTGCTCCCTACTCAAGAATTCCCGGCAGAATTCCACCCCAGGGCACAAACATCTTGAAGACAATTTAACTTTAAAAGTGCCTTAACTTTTTGGGAAAATCAGAGCTATAAGTGGCAACCTGAAACGAAGTTGAGAGAACTTGACGGAGCAGAAATAAAGTCAGCTCCACGCACAACCCCAGAAAAATTTAAATATTAATAAATTTAAAAGTTTAAATATTTCGGGGAACTTGCCCGGCCGTTTCCACAGCCCATTAGCATCTGCACTTTATTCCTCCCACCCTCGGGTTTAATTGGATCTGGGGAGCAGATGGCAGCACACAACAATCACACACGTGTTTAATGAGATGCTCGCCC